CAGCACCACAGGCCCCCCCCCCCCTCTGGCCACTGAGACTGGATGTGGTGGTGCATGCTTGTAATCTCAGTGCTAGGAAGGCTGAAAATAAGATGATGAGTCCAAGCTGAGCAGTAAGATGAAACCCTGTACCCACTGTGGGAACACAGTAAACTCAAGACTCAATGCTTAAAAGTTTTTAGAACTAATGTTAACCCACAGCCATTAAAAGCAAAAGTTATAGGATCAGAACACCAAAGCCTTTTGTGCCAAAACTGTTAAAGATGTAGACAGGATGGGTGTTGGATAGTGCCAACTACTGAAAATAAGTTGTAAATGAATGTAGTGAACCTGAGGCGCTCTGCTTAATTTCATGTAAGATTTTACAAGTATTTTGTTTCCTTAGCTGTAAAGCATGGAATTAATTTTACTACCAAGTTTTCCACTCTTTCAGATGAGGATGGATTAGCCCTTAGTCTAAAATTCACTTGCTTACAGGTACTTATTGTCATTAAATTTTTTTTTTTCTTTTTTGTGGAACCGGGGATTGAACTCAGGTCCTTACGCTTGCCAGGGAAGCACATATTCCACTGAGCCATCTCCCCGGCCCATGTCCCTAGCATTTTCTGTTAGCCTTTACTTAAAATTAGTGCTTAGCAGGATCTCTCTGTCAGTGAGCTACATCTTCAACCCCTCCTCACCTTTACATGTGGGCATGCGCACGCGCGCGTGCGCACACACACACACGAGCATGGAAGTCTAAATAGGTGAAAATTGGCTTAGCATGTCACCTTAGGTGAGTTACTTCATTACACTCCAGGTTCTTCTATGTGACACATATATAATTAGTCATGGAGGTCAACGTGTGGAATACAATTTACTCAGTATTTTTGTAAAACCATGAAAAGGATCTATTTTACATCACATTTGCATCATCCTATGACACAGGTCTTCTAGATGATATTTAATAGTTTTCAATAAAATTAAGTCTTGAAAAAAAGCCTGGAGAAAAACTATGAAAGAAACATGTGATGTACTGTGCTCCTTAGTATTTTAAAAGTGGTTTTAATAGCTGTCTTAGAAGTATATTTGCATTAAAGTCTTTACACCTACAGTAAGAGTCCCTTTATAGTTAATTATGTGCATATCATCATACTCTGAATATTCTTTAAAATGCCTTTGAACAATTCTAGCACTGAATATGGTTACTTCCACCCCTTTTACACTAAAAACCCTTGTGTTCTACATGAATAAGTTAAATACAGTGATTTAAGAAAGTTTAGATGGCTGTATAATTTATCTTGAGAGCTACTCATACTACTGGGATCAACGATAGTGATTTTACCTCATATGTTTCTGATAGGTCCTCTGGTTAAGGTTCTTTACAGTATGTTAGGCTGAAGGTTGTTTGCATTCAAGTTTGCTAGTGTACATTTAGTAGCACAGTAATATTTTGGTATAGAGAGAATTCCAGTTCTGCCAATAGTATTTAAGCTTGGTCATAATAAAATGGAGGTTGTTTTAAAAAATTCATAAAATACTTGAATATAAAGTACTTCAAACTTCCATATGTGTGTGTGTGTGTGTGTGTGTGTGTGTGTGTGTGTGTGTGTGTTTTTGTTTTGTTTTTTAAAATCTTTCATTCATTTGGTACCTTGCTACTCAGGTCAGAATCGTAGTGATCCTCCTGTGTCAGCCTCCCCAGCGCTGGGATTATAGGAATGCACCACCAAAGCTGGTTTCAGACTGGCATGGCATGCAGTATTGGGGATTGAACCCAAGTCCTTGCTCTTGCCAGTCAGGCGCTTAAACCATCAACTTATCTCCCCAGTCCTATTTTTGTATTTTTTGATTTAGCAAAGTAGAATGGTGAACCTGCACAACTTAAGTCAGTGTGGATAAACTGACTTTTGTATACTAGGTTCCAAGAAGCTGCTGGGCAAGTTGCATCTGAGGAACTTTTCTTCCCAAAGAAAAAATTCTGCACTTAAATTCTGTGCTGATTCCATCATAGTTACCATATATTTTAGTTAAGAATTTATCTGTCTCAGACTAGGGGGCTCCTTAAGGACAAGGATTTTGCTTTGAAGAGTACAAAGATACTATATTACTTGCTAAGTGAATAAAATGAATTAGTGTTTCCATTTAAATGGTATATATATGTTATTGAATATTAATCTCCAAATAACCTGTATTTTAAAATGCTCAAATTTAGGGGCCGGGGAGATAGCTCAGTAGAATAAGCACTTGCCTGGAAAGCTCAAGGGCCTGAGTTCAATCCCCGGTTCTGAAAAAAAAAAA